TACCTCGACCTCTCCCTCACCTAACTTGTCAACCAGTTCGTTACCAAGTGTCTCGGCAACAACCCCGTTCAGTCTGACGAACAGCAACTCAAACTATTCCTTTGCCAACTTGTTAACCAATTCATCAGCAAACGTCTCAGCTATTACATTGATCAATTTGACGCAAAGTAACTTGACCTCTACCTCCGTCTGGGCCGCCACTTCGACTAGTTTGACGCCCGGTTACTCGACCAGTGCCTCAGAATACACCTGGACCAGTGTGACACGCAGTTTGTCAAACAGTACCTCTTCTAAATTGCCAAACAGTGCCTCCGTCCTGAGTGTCATGCCCAGTGACTCGACCTCTACTACCTTGTCAGCCACTGCTGCCCCAAGTGCACGTTCTTTTACTTCCATCAGATTGGCCTTTACGCTGACCAGTTCGACACTTAAAATCCCGACCTCTAATTCAGCTGACTTTTTAACCAGTGCGACACCGAGGTTCTCATCATCAACCCCGACAAGTTTGACGGCACTTTTGACGAGCAACAACTCGACCACTTCATATCCTAACTTTTCAACCATGACTTTGCTTAGTGTCTCAGCCTTTACCCTGGCCATTGTGACACCCAGTAACTCGACCTACCTCAGGTCACTTGTCAACCAGTGCGTCATCAAGTGTCTTAGTATCTACCCGCCTGCGTTTGATGAGCACCACCTCTACCTCTACATCTTCTACCTATTCAACCAGTGGTTTGCTCGGTACTTCGGCCGTTACCCCGATCAGTGGGACACCCAAAAACTCAATCTTTGCCTCAGCAAAGAATCCCAGTACTTTTTTCTGGTGTATTGGCCTCCAGCGTGATCAGTATCACGCAAAGAAATTCGGCTTCCTTCTCTGCTACCCTGTCAACCATTGCGTCACCAAGTTTCTCGACATTAACGGCTACCATTGATTTAAACTCTACATCGACCAGTTTGACGCCTATTAACTTGACTATTACCTCAAATAACCTGTCGGCAAGTGCGTCGTCGGCATTCACAGTTACTGGTTTCGGGCCCAGAAGCTCGAGTTCTGCCTTAGCGAAACTGTCAACCATTGTGTCGCAAAGTATTTGGACCGCCACATCGAGCATTTTGGCGCCCAGAAACTCGACCTTAATTTCTTCTAACTTGTCAAACAGATCTTCTAAGTGTCTCGACATCAATTCTGGACATTTTTACGAGCGGCAACTCGACTTCGGCACCTGCTTACCTGTCAGCTTCTGCGTCGCCTAGTTTGACGTCTACCAACTCGACCGCTACCTCAACTAACTTGTTTTTCAATGCAACCACTGGTTTTCCAGGTATCTCGGCCATTACCTGAATCAGTGTGACAACCAAAAATTCAGCAAAGACTCTCAGTGTTTTGTCTAGTGTATTGGCCTCCAGCTTGATCAGCGTCACTCAAAGTAATTCGTCCTCCATTTCTGATAACATTTCAATCATAGCGTCATAAAATGTCACGACATCAACTGCTACTACTGTTTTGTCCTCAAGATCGCCCAGTTTGACGCCTAGTAACTTGACCTCTACCTTAACTAGCCTTTCATCGACTGCCTCGCCAACTGTCTCGGTATTCAAAGTTACTGGTTTGGGGCCCAGGAGCTTGACTTCTGCCTCAGCTAAATTATCAACCATTGTTTTGCGAAATGTTTCGGCCACCACATCGAGTACTTTGACGCCCAGAAACTCGCCCTGAGCCTCGTCCAACTTGTCAACCAGGTCGTCTCAAAGGGTCTCGACATCAACCCCGATCATTTTGACAAAGGGCAACTCGACTTTTGCACCTTTTTACCCGTCAGCTACTGCGTCGCCTAGTGTCTTGAATTCCTCACCGATGAGTTCAGCGACTAGAAACTCGACCTCCACCTCAACTAACTTGTTGCCCAGTGCGTCACTAAGTATGTCTTTCTCAACATCGTTCAGAATTACGTCCAGTAACTTCAGCTGTCCCTCTACTTTCTCGTGAAACGTTGCATCGCCAAGTGTCCCGGCATTCAAACCGACCAGTATGCTGCTTAGTCACACGGCCTCTACCTCAGATCGCTTTTCAACTAGTACGTTACCAGTTGCCCGGACACTATCATCAATCAGTCTCACGAAAACCAACTCGAACTCTACTTTTGCAAACTTATCAACCGTTGCGTCGTCAAGTGTCTTGGCCTCCAGTCTTATGCTGAGTAACTCGACAACTTCCTCTTCTAACGTGTCAAGCAGTGCGTCATCAAGTGTCTTGGTATCTACCCTCCCTCGTTTGATGAGCACCATCTCTGTGCTTACATCTGTAACAGTTGTACCTGGTGCTTTTCCAGGTGTCTCAGCTTTTACCCCGGACAGCAATGTGGCACCCAGTAACTCGACATTTACGCCAGGTAACTTGGTAAGGAGTGCCTCGCCAAATCTCTCGACGTTTCCATCTATCCATTTGACGCCGATTAGCTCGACCTCTATATCAGGAGACCTGTCAACTAGTGCATCACCAATTGTCTCGTCATCAACCTCGAAGAGTTTCAAGAACGTCAACTCTAAGTCTATTTTTTTAACTTGTTAAGCACTGTGCTGCTAAGTGTCCCCGCTTCTACATCCATTAGTTTGACCCCTATTAGCTCTATTTCTACCTCAGCTATTTTGTCGAACAGTGTCTCGGCCTTTACCCCGACCAGTATGACGCCCAGTTCTTTGACTTCTACTGCCTCCCTGTCAACCAGTGTGGCACGAAGTGTCCTGGCTTCCACTCTCATAAGTGTTAGGTCCAATGATTCTACCTTTACCCCTGCTAACTTGTCAATCAGTGTGTCGTTAAGTGTCTCGGGCTCTACTCCGGCAAGTTCCATGCCCAGTTATTTGGCCTTTTCGCCTGCTAGATTATCGACAAAGGTGTCGTCAAGTGTCTCAGTCTCTCTAACGCGACGATTATCGCACCCAGTACCTCGATTACGTCCTCTGCTACCTTGTCAGGCAGAAATTCGTGAATCACCTCGGTCTCCACCTCGATAATTGTTGCCCCCAGTGAATCGACCTCCAACACCTCTAACTTGTCAACCAAGTGTTACCAAGTGTCTTGGTCTCACCGATCATTTCCACGCTTAGTGATTCAACCTCTACGTCTGCTAACTTATCAACCAGGTCGGTGCCAAGTGTCTTGGACTCTTCCGGGTCAGTGTCATGGCTAGTAACTCGATAACTAATTCTTCTAACTTTCCAGCAAGTGCGATACCAAGTGTCTCGGCGTTTACCGAGGCTATTGTGAAGCTTCGTATCTCGAATTCTACTTCTTCTATCTCGCCATCAAGTGGTTTCTCACTAAGTGTCTCGGCATTCACCCTGACAAGTTTAACGCCCAGTGACTCTACCTCGATCTCTGCTAACTTGTCAACTAGAGGGTCCACAAGTATCACCGATGGAAAAGGTAATTTCGACAACACTTTTAAAATTAATCGAGTGTTTTCTCTGATAGCGTTGTGTAAGGAATGGGTTCATCTGTTTAGGTCAAACCCAGAAGAAAGATGCCGTTTTAAATTTATGCAAAAAAGTGTGTTTATGGGGCCTCGGATTTAAATGGTATATCCTAGGAATTATACCCCTTCATTCATACTTATGTGCTGAGTTCATATTTCATTCTCAAAAAGTAAATCATAATGATTCTGGTATTTTATGTAGTACAAACAAGAACTTATCAGGTGAAACTTTACCGGGCCGTTTAAGGGTAAATAAAATTTGAGCAAAAATTATGCACCAATGGCATCATAGCCAATAGCATCACTGCTTAACTGACAGAAGACCAATGACATCGCGACTTAATTGACCAATCAGGTGAATAAGCAGAGTTCAAGACCATCAACTGACATGTATGATACAACTCACTTTGACTCTGAAGATGACTACCTAGGTGACATTTTACCGGGCCGTTTAAGGGTAAATAAAATTTGAGCAAAAATAATACACCAATGACATCATAACCAATAGCATCACGGCTTAACTGACAGAAGACCAGTGACATCGCGACTTAATTGACCAATCAGGTGAATAAGCAGAGTTTAAGACCATCAACTGACATGCATGATACAACTCTCTTTGACTCTGAAGATGACTACCTCAAGGTGTTCGAAACATCAGTCACTTTCAACGAAAGTCCTTCTCAGGACTACGTTCACCAGGATCTTATAAACGAAGTAACGTGGGTCATATTCCCAGTTGCCTCAGTTGCCTTTCTGTTCTGCCTTTCTTTGAAAATAGCAAAAACAAACTTTTAAACCGCAAATTTAAACTTGTTGTTAAGTAACCATGTATCTTCAGCTTGCAAGAAAGTGAAATTAAGAATATACAAGGCCGCCGTTTTGCGATATCTGACATACTCCAGCCTCGTTTGGCACTTTTGTAGAGGCTCAGACCGGAGAAAGCTTGAGAGGGTCAATGAACGGGGTCTGCGAGCTGTACTTTGCAATTGGACATCATCATATGATGAGTTACTTACGCGTGCACGGATGACTAGTCTTTACAATAGGCGCCTGCAGGATATCGCAATCCTCAGCGTATTATTGTCAAGTCATAACTTACGAAATTCAGACTTCTTTATTCCTAGGTTCAATACCGTTCAATACCGTAAAATATGGCATTTTTGTGGTCCGAATTGTCAAAAAAGGACAGGAACCTAGCCACATTATCGGCTTTCAAAACAGGTATTGGCAAGAAAGTCTTTTCACGTTTCATAGCTGAGAACAAATGTTGAAATTCTAACTTGTGTAGTACTTGAGGCTGTACTTGATAATTTACTTTTAGATTAATTAGAATGTAGACTATTTTATTGTTATTATTATCTATTTATTTATACACGTTTATAAAAATATGTTAACGTTATTAATGTAATTTTGTAGTGAATATTTATTGTTAATATTATCAAATGTAATCTTAAGCTTATTAAACAGATTTTATTCTGCTAACGTTTCAGCCAATGTATCGACCAGTACCTCGGCCTCCACCTCTGCTAGCCTGTCAGCCAGTGTGTCGACCAGTGCCTCGGAGTCCACATCGCTCATTGTGTCGGCAGGTGTCTCAGCCACTACCTCTGCTAGTTTTTTAGCCAGTATGTCAATCAGTGCCTCGCCCTCCACATCGCTGAGTGTGTCGCCAGGTGTCTCGTTTTCCACCTCTGCTAGCCTTTCAGCCAGTGTGTTCACGAGTGCATCAGTCTCCACATCGCCCAGTGTGTCATTAAGTGTGTCAGACCCGTTTTCTGCTAGCGTGTCAGCCAGTTTTTCGACCAGTGCCTCGGCGTCTACATCGCCCAGTGTGTCAGAAAGTGTCTCGGCCTCCACCTCTGGCAGCCTTTCAGCCAGTGTGTCGACGAGTGCATCGGTCTCCATATCGCCCAGTGTGTCGGCAACTCTATCAGCGTCGCCATCTGCTAGCGTGTCAGACAGTTTGTCGACCAGTGCCTCCGTGTCTACATCGCCCAGTGTCTCGGCAAGTGTCTCGGTCTCCACCTCTGCTAGCCTGTCAACCAGTGTGTCTACAAGTGCCTCAGTCTCCAAATCGCCCAGTGTGTCGGCAACTGTATCATCGTCGCCATCTGCTAGTGTGTCAGCCAGTTTGTCGACCAGTGCCTCCGCGTCTACATCGCGCAGTGTGTCGGAAAGTGTCTCGGCTTCCACCTCTGCTAGCCTTTCAGCCAGCGTGTCGACGAGTGCATCGGTCCCAACATCGCCCAGTGTGTCGGCAACTGTATCAGCGTCGCTATCTGCTAGCGTGTCAGCCAGTTTGTCGACCAGTGCATCGGCATCTACATCGCGCAGTGTGTCGGAAAGTGTCTCGGCCTCCACCTCTGCTAGCCTTTTAGCCAGTGTGTCGACGAGTGTATCGGTCTCCACATCCCCCAGTGTGTCACCAAGTGTCTCAGACTCGTTATCTGCTAGCGTGTCAGCAAGTGTCTCGACCAGTGCCTCGGCGTCTACATCGCCCAGTGTGTCGGCAAGTGTCTCGGCCTCCACCTCTGCTAGCTTGTCAACCAGTGTGTCTACAAGTGCCTCGGTCTCCACTTCGCCCAGTGTGTCGGCAAGTGTCTCGCCCTCAACCTCTGCCAGCTTGTCAGCCAGTGTGTCGACCAGTTTCTCGGCCTCCACATCGCCCAGTGTGTCGCCAACTGTGCCAGACTCGCCATCTGCTAGCGTTTCAGCGACCGTGTCGACCAGTGCCTCGGCGTCTACATCACCCAGTGTGTCGGAAAGTGTCTCGGTCTCCACCTCTGCTAGCCTTTCAGCCAGTGTGTTCACGAGTGCATCAGTCTCCACATCGCCCAGTGTGTCGGCAACTGTATCATCGTCGCCATCTGCTAGTGTGTCAGCCAGTTTGTCGACCAGTGCCTCCGCGTCTACATCGCCCAGTGTGTCGGAAAGTGTCTCGGCCTCCACCTCTGCTAGCCTTTCAGCCAGCGTGTCGACGAGTGCATCGGTCTCAACATCGCCCAGTGTGTCGGCAACTGTATCAGCGTCGCTATCTGCTAGCGTGTCAGCCAGTTTGTCGACCAGTGCATCGGCGTCTACATCGCCCAGTGTGTCGCCAAGTCTCTCGGACTTCATCTGTGCTAGCTTGTCAGCCAGTTTTTCCTTTAGTCAAAGCATTTTACCTTCAACTCCCAGTAAGAGTTGGTATTTGTTTTTTTAACTGTTGTGTTTTTGATGTGTTTGATTAGACACTATTTACCAGGTAATTGTCACCTATAATTTTGCCGAATTTGACCTGGTCGGAATTGCAGTCGGTCTGAAATGCAGTCAGCTGTTTTGCATCCTACCTGTTTTCTAGGATTCTACTGTGTTGCGTTAATTGCCATCCATTTTCCCCTTGTGGAATAACTTGCGGTTTTGTTTATGTTTTTTTGTTGGCTCATGACCTTTTCTATGGTACATAAATTTTTTTCCAAACTATTTTAACAAGGGCACTGCTGGAATGTTTGTGGATGTCAGTAGCATCGGCTTTTTATCTACTATGATCTTAAACAATGATCGTCACTTAGGTAGCCAACGTTAACTCTTGGCTAAGAGCTAACAAGTGTAACCTAAATGTCGCTAAAGGGTAGAAACCCAAGCTGGGGTCTCCAACAGTGCACATATCGTCTCTTGGACTAACAGTTGACGAGACCCTCTCCTGATGCAAGCATATCATAAATATTTCAAAAAAGATTTTTCAGGAATCGGCACCTTGAAACGTGTGAGACCAAACAATCATTTACTCATTTTCAGCTGCAAAAATGAATAAGACTTTAGTTGATCCCCACTTTATGTACTGCTGCGGTGTATGGTATGGTCTCATCCACACTTTAAACGATAAACTTCAAAAATTACAAAACCGCGGAGCTACGGTAATTGCCAAATCTAGATATGACGCTAGTATAGATCCCTTTCTTGCTTTGATTGGATAGGATTCAGATATCTGACCAAAACAAGGGGTGGCTATCATGTTCAAAAGGCTAAAGAAGCAAATGCCCCTCCTTCCCTCCCCCCCCCCCCCCCCCCCCCCCCCCCCNGATGGACTGCCAACAAGGTTTACAGATGGAATAAATGTCTATCATTCATCAACGGGTACCCACACGGCAAAAACGCAGACTAGTATTTTAGATTTTCATTACCTTCAGATACTGATTTTTAACCGTATCTAAATAGAGTACTTCTATGTCTATGTCTATGCACCCGCAATTCAGGGGCACCCAACGTCAATTTTCGGAAAATATCTGTTCGGAAGACGATTTGAGATCTAGAATTTTCGGAACATTTGTTGTAAAATTTCTTGCTTGCCTGCCTCTCCTAGGATTTTCGAACATCTAAAAAAAAGGTATAATTGCCCATTTTTAACGGATCTTTATCCTAAGAAGGTCACCTAGAATTTTCAGGAACCTTTTCCTGGCTGAAATTTTCGAAAAGGTAAGTTTTGATCCCTATAATTTTCGGATCACTAGACTTTCAGCTAGGAAATCCGAACAGATGAAAAATTTTCAGGGGATAAAAATATGCCTATATCTACCGTTTAAATACTATAATACGTTAAACAATGCTATGTTTAAGTGGTTTTGAACTATATTGTCGTTGGGTGCCCCTGGCAATTGGCGATTTATATTTTAACAGAAAAGCCCTACTGTAGCAGATTAGAACGAAAAAGATAGTTGAAGTAATCTTAAAAGATATCTCTGCAAAATATTTACTTATTTAATATTGTTGAGACGTTGTAGTTTTGCATGGTGAAAATGTTTATCAACCAGCCTAATGAAAAGTGCGGTTTAAGCCTTCATAGAAAGAGGCTAAATGTCACACGAAGCACACTCGCTTAGAGTTAGAATTGCCTTTTTATTGTGCTCTTTCTTTCTCCTTTGAAGCAATTGCACCTGCGAGCAATCTTTTTCCGTTTGGGCCATCGGAGAGTGATACTGAACTCATACCGGTGGAGCCATCTTGTAATGACGAAGTGATCTGCCAAAGTATTAGAGCGGGCCGTTTTGGATTTGAATTCTTCCAGAGGAGACGTTTCAGACTGAATGTAGGTATCTGTCTAATTGTTATTCCTGCCTAAAGGGTTGCAGGGGTCTTGGATTTTGGGCCCTTCCTTCTTCTATATATCCTGCTTCAAGGTTTTTACTACGTTTCCTTCATTTGATTGTTCTTCATATTTGTATCTAATTTTATACACAACTAAACAAGACATGTCTCTCTTAGTACCGGGAAAAAGAGTCAAACGGCATCTTTGTAGCTTTCGATAAGCTAGGGGACTGTTAAGTGCTTTAACTGACTTGTTTCTTAAAACAGATAAAGAAACAGACGGTTATAACTGGAGCAAAAAGCCCACTTGTCAAACTATTTACAAAGAGGATATCTTACATATCCGCGCGGAGATACGAAATTTCTTCTTGAGTGTTAAGCGAACGAGTGAAATATTCTCGATTACTCAAAGAGAAATTTCGTATCTCCAAGCGGCCATGTATTGTTGTATTTTTTATACAAACACCAATAAGATACCAAACTATTTCGCTTTGATATCATTTGGCCACGAAAGGTGCGGTTTATTATGTAGCCATGGCAACGGTGATCTTTACAAGTCTTTCAGGCGTCGATAGGAATTGTTTTAACATCACTGTGTTTAAATATCGAAAGTAAAAGAATGTGAATTATTACATAACCACTAATGAAATACCAGGTGAGCTTTTGCGCGAAAACTTGATACTGATCTTCAGACTTAGATAGATAGATAATAGATAGATAGATAATTTATCTATTATCTATCTATCTAAGTCTGAAGATCAGTATCAAGTTTTCGCGCAAAAGCTCACCTGGTATTTCATTAGTGGTTATGTAATAATTCACATTCTTTTACTTTCGATATTTAAACACAGTGATGTTAAAACAATTCCTATCGACGCCTGAAAGACTTGTAAAGATCACCGTTGCCATGGCTACATAATAAACCGCACCTTTCGTGGCCAAATGATATCAAAGCGAAATAGTTTGGTATCTTATTGGTGTTTGTATAAAAAATACAACAATACATGGCCGCTTGGAGATACGAAATTTCTCTTTGAGTAATCGAGAATATTTCACTCGTTCGCTTAACACTCAAGAAGAAATTTCGTATCTCCGCGCGGATATGTAAGATATCCTCTTTGTAAATAGTTTGACAAGTGGGCTTTTTGCTCCAGTTATAACCGTCTGTTTCTTTATCTGTTTTAAGAAACAAGTCAGTTAAAGCACTTAACAGTCCCCTAGCTTATCGAAAGCTACAAAGATGCCGTTTGACTCTTTTTCCCGGTACTAAGAGAGACATGTCTTGTTTAGTTGTGTATAAAATTAGATACAAATATGAAGAACAATCAAATGAAGGAAACGTAGTAAAAACCTTGAAGCAGGATATATAGAAGAAGGAAGGGCCCAAAATCCAAGACCCCTGCAACCCTTTAGGCAGGAATAACAATTAGACAGATACCTACATTCAGTCTGAAACGTCTCCTCTGGAAGAATTCAAATCCAAAACGGCCCGCTCTAATACTTTGGCAGATCACTTCGTCATTACAAGATGGCTCCACCGGTATGAGTTCAGTATCACTCTCCGATGGCCCAAACGGAAAAAGATTGCTCGCAGGTGCAATTGCTTCAAAGGAGAAAGAAAGAGCACAATAAAAAGGCAATTCTAACTCTAAGCGAGTGTGCTTCGTGTGACATTTAGCCTCTTTCTATGAAGGCTTAAACCGCACTTTTCATTAGGCTGGTTGATAAANCGACTAAAATATCACTCATGGGTATCACTACTCCTGCTTTGCTAGATATGTTTCAATGGTAAAATCCAGTTTAACGAAATATGGAGTGTACGGTGGCCCCAGAGGTTTGGTATTTACGGATGGCAACGTTCAAATGCGTTCATTGCACCATTCTGGGCTAGGGTGAAACATGCAGCATTTAAAACAGGAAATTCCACGGTTTATTATCACGCTTACGAGCAAAACAACCAGAACACGGATCAAACAAGTAACATACTCCGTCTGGCCTCACGTCATGTTCAGAATTACGCCAGCGATGAAAAATTTAGAAACTTTGAAGCCACTTGGGTTCTGGTCGTCACTTGGGTAAATGTCTGCCCTTACGACGAATGTACAGAACGTTGTAGTTTGGTAAGTTATGATTTTCACATTAATTACATTTTTCAGACCTTTTTCTTACGCACTGTCATTCTTTGGGCAAACGCTAGCTTTGGGTCGGTGGTTTGACCGTTTTTCATGACTATTTTAGCTGCTCCAAACAGTAAGCTCTTTAATTCAGCAACTTTAGATTGATGATTAGTTTTCGAATAGACCTTGTCACGGTATGAGAATCTAATGTCGAATAATTTCCGTAAAACGGCTTTTCTGAAAAAAAAAAATGAATTTTATAACTAAAGATTCACTCCTAACGGTTCTACCAATAAAAATTGAGGGCGTTATATGCAGCTGCATGCGCTAGAACAACTTTTTATTCTTTTTTTAATGTAAAAATTTTTCTTCCTTTCGCCTAAAATTTCCCGGGAAATATTGTAGACAAATATATGGAAAATCTAATACAAGCGTCTGGAGAAATTTAAGCACATTAACGACCCCAAAATTTGTTAGTAAAATCCTTTGCTGTAGCTTTAGTTTACAGTTCAGTTTTTTTTTCAGAACAGCTGTTTTACTCAAATTATTCGACATTACACTCTCCTCATACAAACACTGTAATTTCTCACGCGGTTGCCTACTCGTCAAGATGGCTTTCAAAACCGTAACAAGGTCCATAAGACTTCGCTCGCTGTACTACATTAATATTGATTGATTGCTTTGTTAGTCCTGTACTAGTCCGCGAATAGCGCCGTCTCTCCTTGTTCTTTTGTCGCTGCGGATCGGATGTGTTCCGCGCACGAAGGACTAGCGTCTTCGCCATTTTCTATACCAGGTGTTGGATCTGTGTTATTGGCGGAAAAATGGTAACGTGAGAAACAAGACAAAATTAATTCAATGGGAGGCGCTCGTTGATTGAGTGGGGATTAAGTGCACTATTTTAAAAGACACTTTTTGGCACAATTTTTTTCGACCTTATGCCTTCGTTTGGTGAACATAGAGACTTCAGATTGCCATGTTTTGGGTGGAATGATTGGCGAGATTAAAATAGCGACCACGTCTTAGAAGTTTTTTTTTAAATTTTTTAAATATCCTCAACATATTTCCAACATGATCGTGGAAACAGTAACAAGATCCTTGTCCCGTTTCGCCCATAACTAGCAGGGGGAGTAGCGTGCACGTCATGCATTTGACGGCTTGAGTTAAAATTCATCGCCAGTTTCATTTCAGTTTCAGAATGGCATTTACTGAATAATTCGTCTTATAATTTGTGACTATACCTTCCATTTTTTTTTTTAAAATAACGTATTCCGGGGGGGGAGGAGGATACTCAACAAAGATTTATACAGGAAGGCTACGCCCTGAGGTCCAACCCTTAGCCTTCAATATTCTATTTTTGACAACAAAGGTGCCCCTTTCTTATACTATAATAACCCGCAACTAAGAACCTGTTTTTTAAGAACCTGTTAGACTAAAAGTTGTAAATTAGTCCCCCTCCATACCAGAACCTGTTTAGCGTAAATTTGAAAAAGGTTTTTATTTTCTAAAATCTATATCAAAAAAAGTGCTGTATGCTTGGGAAAATAAGATAAGTCAACATTCGGAGTCCTCTTTGGAGACATATATTCCTGATGATCACTCCCACTACAATGTATTGGATGCAGATTTCATATAAGCAATAAGCTGAATATAAGACTAAATACTCTTAGCCTCAACGTGCTTTTTCTTCAGAAAATAAGAAGCAATTTAAGAACCTACATAGCCTAAATTTGTGCTAATTACCATTTATGTAAGAACCTGCTTATGCTAACTTGGGAAAATGCGGTTTCTAGTCGTAGTTACTGCCGTTATTAGTCGTTTTTATTGTATTTGCCATTGACAAATGTTACGCCATTCACATACCTAGTTTAGAACTTTGCATCCCTTTTATCTGCTGTAAAATTCACTGAATAAGTAAATACGAGTAACGAATAAATCACTAAACCAGGACGTTTTCTTGGCTTTTTCGCAATTATAAAATGCATCCGTTGGCCCATTTGGGCCTATTTACAGACCGAAATGACAGACCAGTTCTATCAGTTCATATACTTCAATTGATGAAATCCCTACCCTTTCATATGTAGCCGAAGACTGACAAAGGTACCCCTTTCGAGCGTAGCCTCCACGTTTTAAAATAATCTTGCTTAGGCTCGCTTGTCGGCTCCCACTCATTTTCTGAGTGCAGAGTGACTGAATGAGTGTTTGAAAGTGTGATTGCCTATGGGTTCTTTTTAACTTGCTAGCACAGTTTAATTGAATCCAGTCAATTGAGTCTTACGAGATAATTGGTTCGAATCCCGTTGAAGTCCCGGAATTCGTTTCGGATTTATTTGCCTTTGATTAAATTGCAATTACCACTGTGACAGTCATATCTTCGCAGTTCACATCATTTTCATGTAACATTTAACTTGCTACAAAGTTGTTTACAGTTTTTTAAATCTTCCCGGCTCTACATTGTTTATAGGGATGTCAAGATGTCGAAAATAGCTATGAACAGGTTAAAGATTTATCGCTGTACCACTGGCTAAAATAATGTCCTGGCTTTTATGTTTTGTAGAGGAACACTTTTCAAGCAGTAATCATAACAGACTGGGGTAATACGTTTCTGATGTACAACTACCCTTCAGGAGGAATCGAGTGGACAGTTAATGCTCCTGTGTAAGTCATACATATAAAGAATCAAAGGCCTAGGCCAAACGTCGAACGTTTCATGAGACGAACCAAACTTAGTGAAAAATTCGACGTCTGGCTCAGTTAAGTTCGTCTGAATGAGTTTGGGTTGCCCAACACGTTCTATCCGTCTTCTTCCTCTCGATAGAACGTCTGAAGATCATCTTCGGGACAAACGTTGATCTTCACATGCAACGAACTAGACTAGTAAAGTAAATGCTATTTAACCTCGTCCGGGAGAGAATTTATTAGAATTGCTTTTTGGTCTGATTCAGTTGATTGGTTCGACGCGTTCTAAGTTCGAAGTCTGACCCGACAGACGATCGTCACTTAATTTAGTTCGACCCAAACTAAAATTTGGTTCGTCTCATGAAAGTTCGACGTTCTAAGCCGAACATCGAACTTTCATGAGACGCCTTACACATCACAAGGTTATTGCTGTTAAGTGAGCTTGAAATGTTTAGAGGGAACACTTCTTTGTTGTTGTTTTTGTGGCTTTTAGGCTGTTTTTAGTGTCTTTGTGGGTCTTTTGTGCCTTTGTGCTGTGGGTTGCAAGGTTTTGTTTTAGTATTAAAATACGTTTTAATTCATATTCAATAGTCAAAGAAAGGTAATAATATACACTTAATGTCAGATCCCGAGGGAAACAGTTTTGTTTTCATGAGAGTCCTGATGTTTCCCGAGACGAAGTCGGGGGAAAAATCAGGACTCGAGGGAAAGCAAAACTAACTGGTTTCCAGAGGGACCTGACATTAAGTCTTAATCATTTCTAGACTTTCACTTCAACGTACTTCAACAGCAACAAAAGAATACGCTTAGGCGGAGCGAATCAAAACAGTCGCCTTGCCACTTATAAGAATTACGAACACACGGAATGATTTACAAAGTACTTTCCTAATATTATCTACATCTTTTTCCTCCACTAGCTGCTGTTTCTCTTCTGGGATAACTTTGAAAATCGTTGCTTTTTAGCTTGAGGCTTCAAGTTGTTGTTGTGTTCATTCACGAAAAAGAAAACTGGCAGCCAGTAGCAGGACCTGGCAGTGTTTTTCCCGCCTTCTGTCACGCCACTTTCCAACATGCTTTGATCACGTGCTGTAATGTATCACGATTGGGATACATTTAAGCAATAGACCACACTTTCTATAGGTTTACCGGCGTGATAACCCACGCTCTTTTGGGAGAACACGAGAAAGGCTTGTAAATCACGAGCCGAAGGCGAGTGATTTACAAGCTTTTCGAGTGTTCTCCCAACAACCCAAGTCGGTTATCACGCTGGTAAACCCATAGAAATTGTGGTCTATTGCTTTTATAAAATAGCTTTAAGTTTTCTGAGTTTACCGGTATAATAAACCATAGGTTTTTAACCAATCAGAACGCGCCAACTATCGTTGTTACTTTATAATTGGCAATTATCTTTCCTGCAGATCTAAATATGCTGAATGGACAGATGTGTATGGTATTCCAGTAGCCGGATGGAGCGCTGAAGGCATTCACAATCACAACTTGAAAGAGTGAGGCGTGCTAGCTACCCTGTGGCCAGCGCCGCAGACAAAACTAAACTCTGTTTAAGTCTGTCTGTAAAACAGCGCCGAAATCCTTCTTCTGGCCACCCACCTGCGTACTGGGATTTAAGTACGCGCCATAATCAACCTGTTCAAAATTCCATCGTCGATTTGCCCATCAAGGTGAAGGAAATTCGAAACGCTCTTTCGGTAATTCGTTGATTCCGTTGGGGCCCAGAACAAGGATATCGGCGATGCTTCGCAGACGTTACTAACCGGGGACTTGAATTACGCCTGCGACACAGGCTAGTTACCCTGCAGTAAAAGCTCAACAGTGACAAAATGTTAGATAAAAATAAACTACAGTGTACTTGTATTTACCTGGGAGAAACTCTGTTAGAGTGGAATCCACGGAATGCTGTCTTTTCCTTCACGACTTGACAATAAGTCACGACAAGGAAATGAACGTATCTTTCAAAAGTTCTCTTAATTTGGCAAAACTTTCCTGTGGCAATCTGATTGCTGTTAAACAAAGATTTAATTTATCTTTAATTTATTGCAATACTTCTCATGCCCTATGCCCTTTGTTCAAAATAAAGGTTCAGGTTAATGTATGTACTCTTTTATATACATGCATGTATACGTGCGCCATACCTTTTAAAAGGGGTAGAAAATACGGACTTCAACGATGTTAAAATGCTCCATCACTGGGTCTCTATTTGGCTCATTATGTATGCAGTTCTCTTCCCTTGAAAAGGATGTACTATCCAGATTTTCTCTAAACTTGGCACAATTGAAACCCATATACATGTGTATAGGACACTGTAGTAAAGAGATGGGGTCACCATGCTTGTTTTCGCCTTCCGTGCCCGTAATTACCATACTAATGGTATGATGATCCCATGATCCCATACTAATGGTATGGGGTTTAAGGTCTGGGTCAAAGGTGTGTTCGAAGCATATGAATGATCGGCAATATCTCTCCCTAGAAGACCTAGAAAAAAACTAATTTTTCCCTAAAAGTAAATCTTCAGGTTTTCTTGTGCCTTCACGTTTAAGTGAAAATGAAGGAAGATGGCGAATTCATTGTGGCGAATTTACTTTGTTTGGATAAACAAAGAGGAAAAGAGGATAAACATACCAAACTATTATGTTTGCAATAAATGTACGCGAAGTTTAATATCAAGTGTTGAATAATTCAAGATTAAATTTACCCTCTAAATTTTTTATCGAAGTGCAATGGACGGTCATTCCAAGCATGAAGTGTTAGAGATATTTAATAAGAATTAGAAAAGTGCTAGTGCTCGATTTCTATTTTTTAAACCGGTCACCATTTGGTCTAAAATTAAGATTTTTTGGCATATGGTCACACGACATATCACGTGATATTACAAGTTACTTGAAATATTGCCAAACTCAAGCATTAATGATAATAACTGCTTTATTTACCCGCGACAGCCTTTAAAGCTCAAAGTATAGTGGGGCCGAGCAATGCCTGGAATAATATCAACCAAACATAATGGGGTTAATAGCGACAACTGACCGGAGGCAATTCACGCAGGTTTGTGGAGGATCTGAAGTCAGGATAACCGTAAACAATTCCAGCCAGCGATCAGGGCAAGACTTGCAGTCGGGGCCTCCTTTGGGCAAACCACTCGGCCACGCTATCTCCTGTTCAATTTTTTGCTAGTTCCTGGAGTGGCTTGATGTGTTGTGCTGTAATAATTAACTTTTTTTTGTGATCGCTAAACATTTGATAGACAAAATATTATACCATTGTTTTATACAGGTCAGGTTCTTTGCTGGGAATGTATAATTTGGACAAGAGGAATGGAAATACAGGCACGCTAGGCAGATATTTTTGGAGAATAGAAAACCAGGAAAGAGACAGTGACATAAAAAAGTGCATCGATTGGATTACTTTTCAAGACGACGTGAAGTTTAGGTCTTGGTATGATCAGCAGTTTCGATCTCAAAGTTCAAACCAGCGTCTGGCGTGTCCGTGCACTATATGGCAGGCACTTCTGGACAGGGGACGATTCTTTCTGGACCGTTCATACTCTTCTTCAAACTTTTGTTTTAGATCCAGAGGTTCCAGGATCTTTTTTCATATCATTGATGATATTGGCTTTGCCTTTTTTCGGATAAGACAGCTCTGCTGTTTCAGTGACCTTGGTTTCCTTATAACTGGTCCCCCCGACGGAAGTCACGTTATAGCGGAACGACTTTGTAGCGTGAGAGAGGATACAACAGACAAAGACGCCAAAACATTTTGCTGTGCTGATCGAGATTTGTGCAATGAATATTACTTTTATCGCCCAAGTGATGACTGCTTTTTTTACCGACCTCCTAGCAGACGTAAGTTTTTGTTGTTGTGCTACCTCTTTCTTTAAACAAGGATGTCTTATTTAGTGCTATTGGAGGCTGAAAAGAGAGTATCGAGGTTAATTTTTTCCGAATCTAGAGCCTAAAAAAAATGTTTAAAATCTCTAGAAACTGATGCTTAGAAGCTTTCAGTGCGATTACTATAATCGGGGCCACCTAGACAAAGTTGACAATTCGGATTACAGGAAAATAACAAAATATAATTTTTTTTCCGAGAAAGTTAGGCCCGGTTTCAACGGCGTTCCACTCACGTGCCGAACCTAACTGATGAAATAACTACGGCAAAAGAGCGGCGTCTGAATCTACAGAGAGACTCTGAGACATTCCTAAGGCTGTTTTATTACAAATTATATTTTTTTGGAGACAATTATAATGTTCGAATTTGTGAAATGTACCAATGTATTTTTAGCATAATTCATGCTCAAAATGCATTTCGCGTATTTCCTTCACTGCCCAAAACCACGTTTACTGCCAGGGGCTGTGCAGTATCTTAAGAGGTAACAGCTTTGAAAAGCTTGAGAACTCTGTTTCTCCTCATTTAATGCCTTAATAACTTGCTATGTTGTTCCAGGTTGGTTCTGGGGTGATCCTCATTTTAAGACACTAGATGGTGGGAATTATACATTCAACGGCCTTGGTGAATATGTAATGATCGATGCACAAGATGGGGTATTCCAATTACAAGCTAGGACACACCTTGCCAAACGAAATTCAACTACTGCCACCATTTTCTCAGCCGGTGCTGCTAAAGAAGAAAACACAAGCATCGTTGAAGTAAAAGTCAAGAAAGGAGGTGAGACATACTGGGATACACAGGAGCAGTCAGATTGACTGAATGACCTGATTATTCTTGATTATTGTTGAATATCCGAAAACTTAATGACTTTAAACGTTTTATTTTTTTTTAGGTGGAATCGACATTTTGATTGAAGAAACAATTTACCCTAACTACGCCAATCTGACGAATCAAACCGTAGATGTCGGCGGAAACCTTTTGTTCTCGAAACCAGAAGCAAACTGTGTAGAGGTTTATTTTCCCTCAACAACGTCCGTGCAGTTCTGCGAGAAAATAGAAATGCTGTCCTTTGTGGTTACTCTTAGCGAAGATTACAGAAACAGCACCAGGGGGTTACTGGGTACTTGGAATGATGATCCTACTGACGACTTCACATTGCCTGATGGGACGGTATTGTCTCCATCTTCAACCTCAAGGGAAATTCACTTCGACTTTGGCGTTAAATGTGAGTTGTTGTTATTATTGTTATTATTATTATTATTATTATTATTATTATTATTATTATTATCTCTTCTGTCACAGTCTTTGCTGGTTTTCTTTTTGTGCATCATCATACACTGAGCATCTTCCTGAGGATTCGTGCAGATCCCAGCATTCAGATCTTTGGATCTCTGTCACAGTAGCTCTCTCATAATTTTTTTGATGTTTTCTACCATCCCCTTCTTTACTGTACGAAGCGCACCAACAACCACAGGGATCACCACGGTTTTCATATGCCACATTGTCTGTATTTCTAGTTCTAGGTCTTTGTACTTGCCTTTCTTTTCGATTTCCTTCAATGCAATGTTTCTATCTGATGGAACAGTCATATCAATCAGTTTGCAGGTGGAATTCACTGAAACTTTAACAATGGTGTCTGGTCTGGTCTATAGTATCAGTATTGTCCTGTTATATCTAACAGTATTGACTGGCATGTCCCACATGATGGTAATGTTGTTGTTGTTGTACCATCTGTCTGTAATCTCGATATCATGATCTTTACAGATGCTCCAATGGAGCAATGGATATGCTGCAGCATTATTGTACCTGGAGATGTACTCTGTTTAGGCTAATACCTCACACCCAGATACAATATGGTCCACTGTCTCTTCATGTTGCGAACACATTCTGCATTTGATCTCCACCTGCTGGTCACATATTACATTCTGATAGTTTATGGTTCCATTTGCTTTTATTGAAAGAGATGGATGAAAATTGATCGCTTTTTTTGATATACAAGTAATGTTCAGTGACGTACAAAACATGTCAAGAGAAAGTAAAATCAATTATTACAGCTCATTCTTAAGTCGCGGCACGAGCCGATTAATAAAATGGATTTACAAAGAGAGATACGAATTGCTCTTACTGAAAAGAAAACAACAACTTAATAACAGCCCTCAAACCACTAAGCTGAAGCTTATGTCATGTTAGGCCTCTTTCAAACGTGGAATTTGTTATGAGTGCCGAACACCTATTTTAGTCGATGAAAGTAATTAAATACGGCAGTTGATTCAGACGTCGGATATGATGGTGCCGCATTAAACTCCGGTTGTTGTAAATATTCCCAGTCTCTAGGAATTTTTTTTATCCAATATGGTAAGGGGTTTCTATAATTAATGCATTATATTCGGCACATGTGAAATGCGACTTTTAAATCAAGTGTTGAACCTAACTCGAATTTTCGACTGTTTCAGTCGCAGATTCGACAAAGTAGTATTTAATTTGAAACTGTCGAGTTTAGTTAATTCATACGTCCCATCTCAAAGCAGTTACCTCTCGAATTTAATTAGGCACATGTGAAAATCGACGATTAAGCTGGGTAATGATAACAACGTCCAGTATTACCAAACTATACCGGTAGATACGCTATGATACATACCGCATTTTTTACATTCATGTAAACTTTGTTTTTAATTTACCACATTATTTTACTTGCTATATGCACAACACAGGGAAAAAAAGAAATTTTAAAAAAGGACCCTCATAATCAGACAGAATTAAAAGCTATCACCTCTATCCACTGGACCACCTCGGTAAACACTGACAATTCGAGTTTAAAAGAGGTATATATTCCTTCTCTATGGTGATTGACAGTTTTCAAGATTGACTTTTCGTTTTCTTTTTTTTAGTTTCCGTGTAGAATTAAATCTTTTCAACTGATCGAAGCTAGAAGTAAAGCTCTAATACTCTTTCAGGCTTGATCCATGCCAGGAACGTTTAAGAAATTTATTAACTATCGATCGCGCGGCAACCAACTCTCCCTGCTCGTAAGGTGTCTTTTCATCGGTCGCGGAAAACATTAACACAACATTGTTCATTATTATTTCCATTGTTTTAGGTTAGGGTAGAAAACCATTTGGCTTTTAGGGTTAGAAGAGCTACTACATGACCCCTCTCCCCGGAATGAAGAAAAACAATATGGCCGCCAAATACATCCTTTTGGTTTTTAAAGTTCTCCTTTATTAACAAACGTTGAACATATATTTCGGCAAACAAACAGTTAAGTTGAGAGAGGATTTTAGAAAAGTCTCAAGAGTAGGTCTCCTTTTCGATTTTAATTTGCGATATCGGTCAATTTACGCAACTTTTAAACTTCTGGCTTAGCTTTCGTTTGCATCTGCTTTGAAAATGGAATAATAATTACTCAGGGGTAACAATACAGTGTAAAGATTTGTAGAGAAAACGACAAAAACTTGCCAATTTATGGCGAAAAATGTACTTTAAAAACGAACTAAAATATTCAAAACGCTCTGATCACGTGACTGATGACGTCATGTCCCTCTTTTGGTTATGAAAAATATTATCAGGTAAAACATTAAGGTGATGTTACACGAGACGATTTTTAGCGCAACACAGCGTTGCAACATTGTTGCGAATAATTATAAAGTTGTTCCAACACTGCAACGCTCTAGATCTGTTGCGCTAAAAATCGTCGGTGCGAATCGTCTCGTGTAACATCACCTTTAGTTTCCTGCACATTTCCTCTGCCATGTGCTGAAGCGTCAACTATCTACAGCTCTCGGCCTAGTCTCCCGATGTTTTCGCTCATGTTCATTACCCCCTTAAATTTTAAATGCCGGACGTAAACTGGTTATTTTTAAATGCCCCACACAACCAAAACCTCAAATATGCTATTTGTTTTTAACTCAATAATGATATCTGGTCACAGCAACAAAAAAACCTAATTCGGAAATAGTCACGTGACTGATGACGTCATCACTCTAGATGTGACATGGGAAGACATTTTATGGCAAATGTTACCTCGTTGTGGTCTGAAATTCTTCTACATATAAAATTGTCAAAGTTAAAGCTTTTAATTATAATTTACTTTTGTAATTCTAATAATAATAATAATAATAATAATAATAATAATAATAATTATTATTATTATTATTATCATTATCATTATTATTACATAATTATATACACCTGACTGAAAAAACGTTGTCGCCTAACCTTGCCCGATGGGACCCAATTGATTTATGGGTAGAACCTAATTTAAAGTTCTTTCCAGAAAAGTTTTTATTATCGAAGCTTTCCTCGCCGATGCATTCCAGAAAAGGTCAAAAGGTTTCCAGTTTTCTTGGCGATAAGCTCTTAATTTCACCTGTGCAGGGCACATTAGAGATCCCTGTACAGTGGAACCTCGTTAATACGGTCACCAACCGGTCAAAAACTTTTGGCCGTATCACCTGGGCAGGCTCAAATTGATGACTTGAGGGCCGTTATGACGTATACACCTTACATTGCATTTGCATTTCTTGAACTGTTCTCATTAATAAACAAACGGAATGTAGATATCGTGTTCTGCAATTGAAATAAACTACCTGAAATTTTCGTTCAGTACAGAAAATGCTTTTTAAATCGCAACAAGTGCACTTTATGTGTACAGTAGTCTAAAAACAGTACGAGAACAGGCTCAGAGTAGTATGTCAACAAAATTGACATGTCACAGGGATTTTAATTTTCTAAATTTCGAACAAGTGGCCGTACTAGCGGGGTGAAATTATAAGATTATACGTTTCTGGGAAACTGCCCACTTACCCCTCCGCTAAGCCAACATTTTACCTTAAGTGGGAAGTAAGTGTTCTCACTCAGTGTTAAATGTTGGCTTAGGGGAGGGGTAGGTGGGTAGTTTTCCAGAAACGTATAATGATTCAGAGATTCTACTGTTTGGAATTTCAAAATGTTGCGGTTGACCGTATTAATGGGTGACCGCATTTTCGGATTTTTTTATAAGGAAATGCATGACGCACTCTTGAAAATCATAGATAGGACCTAAAAGCTTTCTTGGAAGACATAAAGAAGACAACGGCATGCCTTAAACAAAGTACTCTTAGGATTTGCATCCGCACGAGCAGCTGCTGTTGAAAGAACTTTCATTTGCTTTGCTTATGAACATATACCCGTAAATTCTTGAAGCAACATCATTCATGATTTATACTCAGTTTAAGCGACAACGTTTTTTCAAAGAGGTACATCTAAAAAATATCTTCTTCTTAAAGGTTCAGCACTACTTTCTCAATAAACTTTAAACGTTAATTAGTCGGGCAACTTTCTTTCTTGCCTCGGCCTAGTGTACTTAAGAAAAAAAAATCCCATCTTTCTTGTTTAACGCCGTTATTTTCTTTTTCTCAGGGCAAATCAATCAGTCTCAGTCATTGTTTACGTATGCTCAAAATGAAAGCGTGGATACCTTTGCGAAACCTGACTTTTTGCCCATGTTCATTGAAAACATAACGTGGTTTAACGAAACTGTGAGGCAAGCGGCTCTGACTCAATGCGGAGATAACGTCGAGTGCTTATTCGACGCTGCAGCCACCAACGACGTGTCTGTTGGACTGGTAACCAAAGATATAAATATTCAGTTTGAGAACGAAACAAACATCCTCGGTAAGTCACCCGTGGAATTGTGTTGCTAAGGGGCGGGGGGTGGGGGGTGGGGGGTACTACAATATATGCGCTAGACAGGAATGTACCGCTCCATAGGGTGTGGCTTTGGAGGGTTTCCAATGTTACCTTTCGACTTTTAAAATCTTTTAAAATCTTTTGAAACTAAAGCAAACATTTCTTCGCCAGTGGATTTTGATACAATGTTTCTAGTTAGGCGCAATTGTAACAATTGTAACATAAATGTTTTCGGGCATGTTTGGCCTTGGTTGAAGTGGTTGACAATTTAAGAACATCGGACCGAGCCACGGTCACAGGTTTTTCCTTAATGTGTTTGTGCTTTATTATTTCCTAAAACCAAGATCTTAGTTGAATTCATCTTAATGGTGATCTCCAATTGTGACAAACAGTAGCCAACCCGATTTCTCGAACCCGGGAAGAGAAAGAGAATTGTTTTGAATAATGAGGTAAAACCAAGGGAAAAAATTATAAGATAAAAGAAAGTCAATGTTGGTGGGAGTCGTCGAGAAGCCGACAGTTCGTGAAAACAATATTCTACAATGTTTTGTTCTCTACTGTAGAAAATTTTCCACCAGTGATAGTAAATGCTTCGGATGTAATAAATGCAACGCTTGATGGAATTGTTCAGTTTAATATTACCGCGGAGAACGAAGACACCGTAAAGTTTGAAGTGATTTACAAACCTAAAAGTGCCACGGTAACACAAAGTGGGAACGTTCTCTACTTTTATTGGCCTGTATTGTCGTCACAAAAGGTACATAACTTTAAACAACAATCAGCGTGACCCAGTATAATCTGCTTCACAACCGTTCTATGGGTTGTCACGCAACGCTCCAGTGGGGTGGACCGTTGCGTGACGACCCAAAGAACAGCTGTGCAGCAGAGACTAGGGCCAGTGTTTCGAAAACTAAAGCGCGCGTAAAAGTTTGTGAGGTGCTTTGGTTTATAGTATCGCGAAGTATCGTTATTGGTTGTTTGTATTTTGCGAGCCCGTAGCACGACTTAAACAAACAAGTTGTAAAATACAATAAACCAAAACAACGAATAGCGTAGATACCGTAACATCCCGAAAATAAGCCCCTCCATGTATAAGCCCCTCCAAATAAAAACCCCCCAATCCGGTAACGCAAAAACCCTCCGTTAAATCGCCCCTCCAATTATAAGCCCCCCGGGGACTTGTACTTGGAAAATTGCCCACAAATACAAAGTAAAACAAAGCAAAAACGGTAAATTTACTTCCAACTATATGGCTAGCCCGGTCGATTTTGAAACGCAAATTTCCCTCCGTAGATAAGCCTCTCCGACTATAAGCCCCTAGCTCTACATTGTTTATAGGGATGTCAAGATGTCGAAAATAGCTATGAACAGGTTAAAGATTTATCGCTGTACCACTGGCTAAAATAATGTCCTGGCTTTTATGTTTTGTAGAGGAACACTTTTCAAGCAGTAATCATAACAGACTGGGGTAATACGTTTCTGATGTACAACTACCCTTCAGGAGGAATCGAGTGGACAGTTAATGCTCCTGTGTAAGTCATACATATAAAGAATCAAAGGCCAAGGCCAAACGTCGAACGTTTCATGAGACGAACCAAACTTAGTGAAAAATTCGACGTCTGGCTCAGTTAAGTTCGTCTGAATGAGTTTGGGTTGCCCAACACGTTCTATCCGTCTTCTTCCTCTCGATAGAACGTCTGAAGATCATCTTCGGGACAAACGTTGATCTTCACATGCAACGAACTAGACTAGTAAAGTAAATGCTATTTAACCTCGTCCGGGAGAGAATTTATTAGAATTGCTTTTTGGTCTGATTCAGTTGATTGGTTCGACGCGTTCTAAGTTCGAAGTCTGACCCGACAGACGATCGTCACTTAATTTAGTTCGACCCAAACTAAAATTTGGTTCGTCTCATGAAAGTTCGACGTTCTAAGCCGAACATCGAACTTTCATGAGACGCCTTACACATCACAAGGTTATTGCTGTTAAGTGAGCTTGAAATGTTTAGAGGGAACACTTCTTTGTTGTTGTTTTTGTGGCTTTTAGGCTGTTTTTAGTGTCTTTGTGGGTCTTTTGTGCCTTTGTGCTGTGGGTTGCAAGGTTTTGTTTTAGTATTAAAATACGTTTTAATTCATATTCAATAGTCAAAGAAAGGTAATAATATACACTTAATGTCAGATCCCGAGGGAAACAGTTTTGTTTTCATGAGAGTCCTGATGTTTCCCGAGACGAAGTCGGGGGAAAAATCAGGACTCGAGGGAAAGCAAAACTAACTGGTTTCCAGAGGGACCTGACATTAAGTCTTAATCATTTCTAGACTTTCACTTCAACGTACTTCAACAGCAACAAAAGAATACGCTTAGGCGGAGCGAATCAAAACAGTCGCCTTGCCACTTATAAGAATTACGAACACACGGAATGATTTACAAAGTACTTTCCTAATATTATCTACATCTTTTTCCTCCACTAGCTGCTGTTTCTCTTCTGGGATAACTTTGAAAATCGTTGCTTTTTAGCTTGAGGCTTCAAGTTGTTGTTGTGTTCATTCACGAAAAAGAAAACTGGCAGCCAGTAGCAGGACCTGGCAGTGTTTTTCCCGCCTTCTGTCACGCCACTTTCCAACATGCTTTGATCACGTGCTGTAATGTATCACGATTGGGATACATTTAAGCAATAGACCACACTTTCTATAGGTTTACCGGCGTGATAACCCACGCTCTTTTGGGAGAACACGAGAAAGGCTTGTAAATCACGAGCCGAAGGCGAGTGATTTACAAGCTTTTCGAGTGTTCTCCCAACAACCCAAGTCGGTTATCACGCTGGTAAACCCATAGAAATTGTGGTCTATTGCTTTTATAAAATAGCTTTAAGTTTTCTGAGTTTACCGGTATAATAAACCATAGGTTTTTAACCAATCAGAACGCGCCAACTATCGTTGTTACTTTATAATTGGCAATTATCTTTCCTGCAGATCTAAATATGCTGAATGGACAGATGTGTATGGTATTCCAGTAGCCGGATGGAGCGCTGAAGGCATTCACAATCACAACTTGAAAGAGTGAGGCGTGCTAGCTACCCTGTGGCCAGCGCCGCAGACAAAACTAAACTCTGTTTAAGTCTGTCTGTAAAACAGCGCCGAAATCCTTCTTCTGGCCACCCACCTGCGTACTGGGATTTAAGTACGCGCCATAATCAACCTGTTCAAAATTCCATCGTCGATTTGCCCATCAAGGTGAAGGAAATTCGAAACGCTCTTTCGGTAATTCGTTGATTCCGTTGGGGCCCAGAACAAGGATATCGGCGATGCTTCGCAGACGTTACTAACCGGGGACTTGAATTACGCCTGCGACACAGGCTAGTTACCCTGCAGTAAAAGCTCAACAGTGACAAAATGTTAGATAAAAATAAACTACAGTGTACTTGTATTTACCTGGGAGAAACTCTGTTAGAGTGGAATCCACGGAATGCTGTCTTTTCCTTCACGACTTGACAATAAGTCACGACAAGGAAATGAACGTATCTTTCAAAAGTTCTCTTAATTTGGCAAAACTTTCCTGTGGCAATCTGATTGCTGTTAAACAAAGATTTAATTTATCTTTAATTTATTGCAATACTTCTCATGCCCTATGCCCTTTGTTCAAAATAAAGGTTCAGGTTAATGTATGTACTCTTTTATATACATGCATGTATACGTGCGCCATACCTTTTAAAAGGGGTAGAAAATACGGACTTCAACGATGTTAAAATGCTCCATCACTGGGTCTCTATTTGGCTCATTATGTATGCAGTTCTCTTCCCTTGAAAAGGATGTACTATCCAGATTTTCTCTAAACTTGGCACAATTGAAACCCATATACATGTGTATAGGACACTGTAGTAAAGAGATGGGGTCACCATGCTTGTTTTCGCCTTCCGTGCCCGTAATTACCATACTAATGGTATGATGATCCCATGATCCCATACTAATGGTATGGGGTTTAAGGTCTGGGTCAAAGGTGTGTTCGAAGCATATGAATGATCGGCAATATCTCTCCCTAGAAGACCTAGAAAAAAACTAATTTTTCCCTAAAAGTAAATCTTCAGGTTTTCTTGTGCCTTCACGTTTAAGTGAAAATGAAGGAAGATGGCGAATTCATTGTGGCGAATTTACTTTGTTTGGATAAACAAAGAGGAAAAGAGGATAAACATACCAAACTATTATGTTTGCAATAAATGTACGCGAAGTTTAATATCAAGTGTTGAATAATTCAAGATTAAATTTACCCTCTAAATTTTTTATCGAAGTGCAATGGACGGTCATTCCAAGCATGAAGTGTTAGAGATATTTAATAAGAATTAGAAAAGTGCTAGTGCTCGATTTCTATTTTTTAAACCGGTCACCATTTGGTCTAAAATTAAGATTTTTTGGCATATGGTCACACGACATATCACGTGATATTACAAGTTACTTGAAATATTGCCAAACTCAAGCATTAATGATAATAACTGCTTTATTTACCCGCGACAGCCTTTAAAGCTCAAAGTATAGTGGGGCCGAGCAATGCCTGGAATAATATCAACCAAACATAATGGGGTTAATAGCGACAACTGACCGGAGGCAATTCACGCAGGTTTGTGGAGGATCTGAAGTCAGGATAACCGTAAACAATTCCAGCCAGCGATCAGGGCAAGACTTGCAGTCGGGGCCTCCTTTGGGCAAACCACTCGGCCACGCTATCTCCTGTTCAATTTTTTGCTAGTTCCTGGAGTGGCTTGATGTGTTGTGCTGTAATAATTAACTTTTTTTTGTGATCGCTAAACATTTGATAGACAAAATATTATACCATTGTTTTATACAGGTCAGGTTCTTTGCTGGGAATGTATAATTTGGACAAGAGGAATGGAAATACAGGCACGCTAGGCAGATATTTTTGGAGAATAGAAAACCAGGAAAGAGACAGTGACATAAAAAAGTGCATCGATTGGATTACTTTTCAAGACGACGTGAAGTTTAGGTCTTGGTATGATCAGCAGTTTCGATCTCAAAGTTCAAACCAGCGTCTGGCGTGTCCGTGCACTATATGGCAGGCACTTCTGGACAGGGGACGATTCTTTCTGGACCGTTCATACTCTTCTTCAAACTTTTGTTTTAGATCCAGAGGTTCCAGGATCTTTTTTCATATCATTGATGATATTGGCTTTGCCTTTTTTCGGATAAGACAGCTCTGCTGTTTCAGTGACCTTGGTTTCCTTATAACTGGTCCCCCCGACGGAAGTCACGTTATAGCGGAACGACTTTGTAGCGTGAGAGAGGATACAACAGACAAAGACGCCAAAACATTTTGCTGTGCTGATCGAGATTTGTGCAATGAATATTACTTTTATCGCCCAAGTGATGACTGCTTTTTTTACCGACCTCCTAGCAGACGTAAGTTTTTGTTGTTGTGCTACCTCTTTCTTTAAACAAGGATGTCTTATTTAGTGCTATTGGAGGCTGAAAAGAGAGTATCGAGGTTAATTTTTTCCGAATCTAGAGCCTAAAAAAAATGTTTAAAATCTCTAGAAACTGATGCTTAGAAGCTTTCAGTGCGATTACTATAATCGGGGCCACCTAGACAAAGTTGACAATTCGGATTACAGGAAAATAACAAAATATAATTTTTTTTCCGAGAAAGTTAGGCCCGGTTTCAACGGCGTTCCACTCACGTGCCGAACCTAACTGATGAAATAACTACGGCAAAAGAGCGGCGTCTGAATCTACAGAGAGACTCTGAGACATTCCTAAGGCTGTTTTATTACAAATTATATTTTTTTGGAGACAATTATAATGTTCGAATTTGTGAAATGTACCAATGTATTTTTAGCATAATTCATGCTCAAAATGCATTTCGCGTATTTCCTTCACTGCCCAAAACCACGTTTACTGCCAGGGGCTGTGCAGTATCTTAAGAGGTAACAGCTTTGAAAAGCTTGAGAACTCTGTTTCTCCTCATTTAATGCCTTAATAACTTGCTATGTTGTTCCAGGTTGGTTCTGGGGTGATCCTCATTTTAAGACACTAGATGGTGGGAATTATACATTCAACGGCCTTGGTGAATATGTAATGATCGATGCACAAGATGGGGTATTCCAATTACAAGCTAGGACACACCTTGCCAAACGAAATTCAACTACTGCCACCATTTTCTCAGCCGGTGCTGCTAAAGAAGAAAACACAAGCATCGTTGAAGTAAAAGTCAAGAAAGGAGGTGAGACATACTGGGATACACAGGAGCAGTCAGATTGACTGAATGACCTGATTATTCTTGATTATTGTTGAATATCCGAAAACTTAATGACTTTAAACGTTTTATTTTTTTTTAGGTGGAATCGACATTTTGATTGAAGAAACAATTTACCCTAACTACGCCAATCTGACGAATCAAACCGTAGATGTCGGCGGAAACCTTTTGTTCTCGAAACCAGAAGCAAACTGTGTAGAGGTTTATTTTCCCTCAACAACGTCCGTGCAGTTCTGCGAGAAAATAGAAATGCTGTCCTTTGTGGTTACTCTTAGCGAAGATTACAGAAACAGCACCAGGGGGTTACTGGGTACTTGGAATGATGATCCTACTGACGACTTCACATTGCCTGATGGGACGGTATTGTCTCCATCTTCAACCTCAAGGGAAATTCACTTCGACTTTGGCGTTAAATGTGAGTTGTTGTTATTATTGTTATTATTATTATTATTATTATTATTATTATTATTATTATTATCTCTTCTGTCACAGTCTTTGCTGGTTTTCTTTTTGTGCATCATCATACACTGAGCATCTTCCTGAGGATTCGTGCAGATCCCAGCATTCAGATCTTTGGATCTCTGTCACAGTAGCTCTCTCATAATTTTTTTGATGTTTTCTACCATCCCCTTCTTTACTGTACGAAGCGCACCAACAACCACAGGGATCACCACGGTTTTCATATGCCACATTGTCTGTATTTCTAGTTCTAGGTCTTTGTACTTGCCTTTCTTTTCGATTTCCTTCAATGCAATGTTTCTATCTGATGGAACAGTCATATCAATCAGTTTGCAGGTGGAATTCACTGAAACTTTAACAATGGTGTCTGGTCTGGTCTATAGTATCAGTATTGTCCTGTTATATCTAACAGTATTGACTGGCATGTCCCACATGATGGTAATGTTGTTGTTGTTGTACCATCTGTCTGTAATCTCGATATCATGATCTTTACAGATGCTCCAATGGAGCAATGGATATGCTGCAGCATTATTGTACCTGGAGATGTACTCTGTTTAGGCTAATACCTCACACCCAGATACAATATGGTCCACTGTCTCTTCATGTTGCGAACACATTCTGCATTTGATCTCCACCTGCTGGCCACATATTACATTCCGATAGTTTATGGTTCCATTTGCTTTTATTGAAATAGATGGATGAAAATTGATCGCTTTTTTTGATATACAAATAATGTTCAGTGACGTACAAAACATGTCAAGAGAAAGTAAAATCAATTATTACAGCTCATTCTTAAGTCGCGGCACGAGCCGATTAATAAAATGGATTTACAAAGAGAGATACGAATTGCTCTTACTGAAAAGAAAACAACAACTTAATAACAGCCCTCAAACCACTAAGCTGAAGCTTATGTCATGTTAGGCCTCTTTCAAACGTGGAATTTGTTATGAGTGCCGAACACCTATTTTAGTCGATGAAAGTAATTAAATACGGCAGTTGATTCAGACGTCGGATATGATGGTGCCGCATTAAACTCCGGTTGTTGTAAATATTCCCAGTCTCTAGGAATTTTTTTTATCCAATATGGTAAGGGGTTTCTATAATTAATGCATTATATTCGGCACATGTGAAATGCGACTTCTAAATCAAGTGTTGAACCTAACTCGAATTTTCGACTGTTTCAGTCGCAGATTCGACAAAGTAGTATTTAATTTGAAACTGTCGAGTTTAGTTAATTCATACGTCCCATCTCAAAGCAGTTACCTCTCGAATTTAATTAGGCACATGTGAAAATCGACGATTAAGCTGGGTAATGATAACAACGTCCAGTATTACCAAACTATACCGGTAGATACGCTATGATACATACCGCATTTTTTACATTCATGTAAACTTTGTTTTTAATTTACCACATTATTTTACTTGCTATATGCACAACACAGGGAAAAAAAGAAATTTTAAAAAAGGACCCTCATAATCAGACAGAATTAAAAGCTATCACCTCTATCCACTGGACCACCTCGGTAAACACTGACAATTCGAGTTTAAAAGAGGTATATATTCCTTCTCTATGGTGATTGACAGTTTTCAAGATTGACTTTTCGTTTTCTTTTTTTTAGTTTCCGTGTAGAATTAAATCTTTTCAACTGATCGAAGCTAGAAGTAAAGCTCTAATACTCTTTCAGGCTTGATCCATGCCAGGAACGTTTAAGAAATTTATTAACTATCGATCGCGCGGCAACCAACTCTCCCTGCTCGTAAGGTGTCTTTTCATCGGTCGCGGAAAACATTAACACAACATTGTTCATTATTATTTCCATTGTTTTAGGTTAGGGTAGAAAACCATTTGGCTTTTAGGGTTAGAAGAGCTACTACATGACCCCTCTCCCCGGAATGAAGAAAAACAATATGGCCGCCAAATACATCCTTTTGGTTTTTAAAGTTCTCCTTTATTAACAAACGTTGAACATATATTTCGGCAAACAAACAGTTAAGTTGAGAGAGGATTTTAGAAAAGTCTCAAGAGTAGGTCTCCTTTTCGATTTTAATTTGCGATATCGGTCAATTTACGCAACTTTTAAACTTCTGGCTTAGCTTTCGTTTGCATCTGCTTTGAAAATGGAATAATAATTACTCAGGGGTAACAATACAGTGTAAAGATTTGTAGAGAAAACGACAAAAACTTGCCAATTTATGGCGAAAAATGTACTTTAAAAACGAACTAAAATATTCAAAACGCTCTGATCACGTGACTGATGACGTCATGTCCCTCTTTTGGTTATGAAAAATATTATCAGGTAAAACATTAAGGTGATGTTACACGAGACGATTTTTAGCGCAACACAGCGTTGCAACATTGTTGCGAATAATTATAAAGTTGTTCCAACACTGCAACGCTCTAGATCTGTTGCGCTAAAAATCGTCGGTGCGAATCGTCTCGTGTAACATCACCTTTAGTTTCCTGCACATTTCCTCTGCCATGTGCTGAAGCGTCAACTATCTACAGCTCTCGGCCTAGTCTCCCGATGTTTTCGCTCATGTTCATTACCCCCTTAAATTTTAAATGCCGGACGTAAACTGGTTATTTTTAAATGCCCCACACAACCAAAACCTCAAATATGCTATTTGTTTTTAACTCAATAATGATATCTGGTCACAGCAACAAAAAAACCTAATTCGGAAATAGTCACGTGACTGATCACGTCATCACTCTAGATGTGACATGGGAAGATATTTTATGGCAAATGTTACCTCGTTGTGGTCTGAAATTCTTCTACATATAAAATTGTCAAAGTTAAAGCTTTTAATTATAATTTACTTTTGTAATTCTAATAATAATAATAATAATAATAATAATAGTAATAATTATTATTATTATTATTATTATTATTATCATTATCATTATCATTATTATTACATAATTATATACACCTGACTGAAAAAACGTTGTCGCCTAACCTTGCCCGATGGGACCCAATTGATTTATGGGTAGAACCTAATTTAAAGTTATTTCCAGAAAAGTTTTTATTATCGAAGCTTTCCTCGCCGATGCATTCCACAAAAGGTGAAAAGGTTTCCAGTTTTCTTGGCGATAAGCTCTTAACTTCACCTATGCAGGGCACATTAGAGATCCCTGTACAGTGGAACCTCGTTAATACGGTCACCAACCGGTCAAAAACTTTTGGCCGTATCACCTGGGCAGGCTCAAATTGATGACTTGAGGGCCGTTATGACGTATACACCTTACATTGCATTTGCATTTCTTGAACTGTTCTCATTAATAAACAAACGGAATGTAGATATCGTGTTCTGCAATTGAAGTAAACTACCTAAAATTTTCGTTCAGTACAGAAAATACTTTTTAAATCGCAACAAGTGCACTTTATGTGTACAGTAGTCTAAAAGCAGTACGAGAACAGGCTCAGAGTGGTATGTCAACAAAATTGACATGTCACAGGGATTTTAATTTTCTAAATTTCGAACAAGTGGCCGTATTAGCGGGGTGAAATTATAAGATTATACGTTTCTGGGAAACTGCCCACTTACCCCTCCGCTAAGCCAACATTTTACCTTAAGTGGGAAGTAAGTGTTCTCACTCAGTGTTAAATGTTGGCTTAGGGGAGGGGTAGGTGGGTAGTTTTCCAGAAACGTATAATGATTCAGAGATTCTACTGTTTGGAATTTCAAAATGTTGCGGTTGACCGTATTAATGGGTGACCGCATTTTCGGATTTTTTTATAAGGAAATGCATGACGCACTCTTGAAAATCATAGATAGGACCTAAAAGCTTTCTTGGAAGACATAAAGAAGACAACGGCATGCCTTAAACAAAGTACTCTTAGGATTTGCATCCGCACGAGCAGCTGCTGTTGAAAGAACTTTCATTTGCTTTGCTTATGAACATATACCCGTAAATTCTTGAAGCAACATCATTCATGATTTATACTCAGTTTAAGCGACAACGTTTTTTCAAAGAGGTACATCTAAAAAATATCTTCTTCTTAAAGGTTCAGCACTACTTTCTCAATAAACTTTAAACGTTAATTAGTCGGGCAACTTTCTTTCTTGCCTCGGCCT